ACGGCAAGTGGAACAGGTATGGATATTACTCATGTTGGTAACTCAATTGTTAAAACTCCCATAAAAGATCTACATCTAAATAATGTTCTTCATGTTCCCCAAGCATCAAAGAATCTTGTCTCTGTTCATCGCTTTGCTCTTGACAATAATGTTCTCATAATTTTTTATCCTCATTCCTTTGTGATCAAGGACTTGGCAACGAGGAGAGTCATTCTTAGAGGAAAGTGTGAGGGAGGCTTGTATCCGCTTATATCATCATCACCTTCATCATGGTCGAATAAGCAAGCATGGAGTGTCACCAAACCTTCCTCGGCAAAGTGGCACAGTCGTTTGGGTCATCCTTCTTCAGTCATTGTTCAACATGTCCTTAGTAGAAATAAACTTCCGTTTGAGTCTAGTGTAGAGTTAATTTGTGATGCTTGTCAGCAAGCTAAAAGTCATCAATTACCATACCCCATCTCTACAAGTGTATCCACTGCTCCATTACAACTTATTTTTTCAGATGTGTGGGGGCCAGCCCCTACTTCAGTCGGTATATTTTCTTATTATGTTAGCTTCATTGATGACTATAGTAAGTTCACTTGGATTTATTTGCTAAAGAAGCGGTCTGATGTGTTCCAAGTATTTCTCAATTTCCAAAATCTTGTTGAACATCAATTAAACTAAAAAATACTTGCTATGCAAACCGACTGGGGTGGTGAGTATGAGAAGCTAAATTCTTTTTTCCAAAAGATTGGAATTTCACATCATGTGTCTTGCCCCCACGCTCATCAGCAAAACGGTTCCGATAAGCAAAAACATCGTCATGTTGTTGAAGTAGGACTGGCATTGCTAGCAAATGCTTCCATGCCACTTAAGTTTTGGGATGAAGCTTTTCTCACAGCCACATACCTCATAAATATTCGTCCTAGCAAAGTCATAAACTTTGAAAATCCCATCACACGTCTTTTTGGTGTTAAACCAGATTACAAGTCTCTCAGAGTCTTTGGATGTGCATGTTGGCCGAATCTAAGGCCATACAACACACGCAAGCTTGCGTTTCGTTCAAAAAGATGTGTCTTTCTAGGTTATAGTCCTATGCATAAAGGGGTCAAGTGCCTTGATGTGCCGACGGGTAGAGTCTATATATCTCGAGATGTTGTCTTTGACGAGTCGGCATTTCCGTTCGAATCTTTACATCCAAATGCCGGAGCCCTTCTTCGTCAGGAAATTCTTCTTCTTCCATCCACACTTCGAGATTTTGATCACGGGGGAAACAATTGTGCTAACCAATATGATAATATTCCTACTGGAACCGGTTCTTCTATTGCACATGTGCAGGTCCCTGAAGAAACGGCGCCCAAAATGATCAACATGATCAAAATTTGGCTCAAGATGATGCTATATTTCATGTGGAAGAACAAGATGAAGCTGACGCGGCGTACGAAGAGGATATGGCAGCACCTGAAACTCCTGTATGTTGATCTCCTTTGGATCACGCGCGCAGATCTCCATTGGATCACGGGCCGGCCAGTTAGGAGGGCCAGGCTACAGCGAGCCACCCCGCGCCCGACACGTCATCACAAGGAGATTCTCCCTCGCAGCGCGAGCGCACTCAGCGCATGCAGCCAACAGGCGTGGCGCACGGGTCGTGCATGCAACCGACAGTGTTGCCAGGCACAGGATCTTCTGCGGCGGACGGATCGGCGGTTGCAGACGCAGTGGCCACATCGATGGCTACTGGATCTTCTGCGACAAGTTCTGAAACTTCTCCAGGATCTTCTGCGACAACCAGATCAGTTCAACCCCAAGAACAAAAACATGTCCAATCTCAACCTGCCGCATCAAGAGTTATGACTAGGTTGCAGAAAGGTATAAAAAACCCTAAGGTGCGGAACAATGGTACTATACCATATGGCATGTTGTGTGTTTCAGGTGAACCAACAAGATTGGATGATGCATTACGAGATCAAAGGTGGAAAAATGCCATGGATGAAGAGTACAGTGCACTCATGAGAAACAAGACTTGGCACTTCGTACCGAATCAAGAAGGAAAGAATATCATTGACTGCAAGTGGGTGTACAGAATCAAAAGAAAGGCAGATGGATCCATTGACAGGTATAAGGCACGTCTTGTTGCTAAAGGCTTTAAACAACGTTATGGCATTGATTATGAGGATACCTTCAGTCCTGTTGTAAGGCTGCAACTATAAGAATTGTGCTAGCTATTGCTATATCTAGGGGATGGAGTTTAAGACAGCTAGATGTGCAGAACGCGTTTTTGCATGATGTTCTGGAAGAGGAGGTCTACATGAGACAACCACCAGGTTATGAAAACAGGCAAAAACCTCACTATGTGTGCAAACTTGATAAGGCTCTCTATGGTTTGAAACAAGCACCTAGAGCATGGTACTCCAGGTTGAGTATGCAATTGAAACATCTTGGTTTTACTGCATCAAAGGCTGACACGTCTCTCTTTATATATAACAATGCAAATACTGTTATTTTTGTGCTCATATATGTTGATGATATTATAGTTGCAAGTTCTTCAAAGAATGCGACTGATGCTCTTTTGCGTGACCTGAGTTCAGAATTTGCCTTAAAGGATCTTGGTGATTTGAACTTCTTTCTAGGCATTGAAGTTAAGAAGGTTCAAGATGGCATAATGTTGAAACAGGAAAAATATGCCACTGAACTTTTGGCTCGGATGGGAATGAAGGACTGCAAACCTTCACCTACACCATTATCCTCTTCAGAACAATTGTCAGCACATGAAGGAGAGCCCCTTAAAGAGGAAGAAAGCACTAGATACAGAAGTGCGGTTGGAGCTTTGCAATACTTAACCTTGACACGACCAGATATTTCATTTGCTGTTAACAAAGTATGTCAATATCTGCATGCTCCTACCTTAGTTCATTGGACAGCTGTTAAGAGAATCATACGGTATGTTAAGCACACTGTAGGATTGGGACTACAAATCAGACGTTCAAATTCTACACTTGTTAGTGCTTTCTCTGATGCAGATTGGGCAGGTTGCAGTGATGATAGAAAATCAACAGGAGGTTTTGCTGTTTTCTTTGGTTCTAATCTTATTTCATGGAGTGCCAGGAAACAAGCAACTGTGTCAAGGTCAAGTACTGAAGCTGAATACAAGTCATTGGCAAATGCTACTGCTGAAATTATTTGGCTTGAATCTTTGCTTGAGGAATTGGGAGTGAAGCAACGTCGTATCTCATGTCTATGGTGTGACAATTCGGCTGCTACTTATTTGAGTGCTAATTCAGTCTTTCATGCCAGAACTAAGCATATTGAGATAGACTTTCACTTTGTACGAGAAAGGGTTGCTGAAAAGAAGTTGGAGATACGCTTTATTCCATCCAAGGATCAAGTGGCAGATGGGTTTACTAAAGCTCTTCCAGCAAAACCGTTTGAGGAGTTTAAGAAAAATTTAAATATAGGGTAGTTTAGATTAAGGGAAGCTGTTAGAATACCATTTAACCTGTTGTAATCTAACCTTCTCTCTATCTCTTCTTCTCGTTTCCTATTCTGATTCCTCATGTATAGATGAGTCCTAGCGATCATCGTAGACTTGTACGTCACGACAGGGGCTGTTCCTGTCTTCCATAAATAAACACACGCGGCTTCCATCGGGAATAGGAACGCTTCCACCACATCTTACACATTCAGACGGCGGAGCTGCTGCGGGAGCCGTTCCGCCGGTTCTTGTCCAACCACCACGCCGACATCGACGCCGTGGTCTCCGACATCATCTTCCACTGGTCCGCCAACGCCGCCGCGGAGCACGGCCTCCCGCGCATCGCGTTCCTCGGCACCAGCATGTTCGCCCGTGCCTGCACCGAGACCGTGCTCCGGGGCAACCCGTTCGAGTCGTGCTCCGATGATCCCGCCGCCGTCGTCTCCCTGCCTGGCCTGCCGCCTCGGGTCGAGCACAAGCGGAGCCAGACGATGGACCCCGTGAAGCGGCCGCGTCAGTGGGCGAAGTTCCATCTCGCCAACGACGCAGACCGGTCGAGCTACGGCGAGATCTTCAACAGCTTCCGCGAGCTGGAACCGGGCTACGCCGAGCACTACCGTGCCACGCAGCTCCGCCGCCGCGTGTGGCTCGTCGGGCCGGTCGGGCTCGCCAGTGGCAGCCTGGAGGACGTGGGGTCAAGAGGCGCCGTCGCTGGCGCGCTCTCGGCGGACGCCGCCGGCTGCCTGCGGTGGCTCGACGCGAAACCGGCCAGCTCGGTGGTGTACGTCTCCTTTGGCTCGATGACCAGCTTCTCGGCGGAGCAGATGCGGGAGCTCGCCCGCGGCCTCGACCTCTCCGGCAAGAACTTCGTGTGGGTCATCGCTAATGACGGCGCCGGCCGAAAATATATTTTAGAGCATATGCACCCAGGCCCTCTCTATCTAGCCATCCATTTTTTGCTTTAAGATTCGTGCAAATATATTTCTCTTTTTTGTTTCTCCCACATAGAATATATCTTGAAGTTCAAACCTATGCGGCGTGACAAAGCTTTCTGAATAGAATCTAGGATAAATCGTACAGATTTTTTTGTCAAACATAAATATACAAAATACGTTTTGTTTGATTAAAAAATCATATTTTTAATATTTATGTCGGACAAAAAATTCTGAAAGATTTATCCTAGATTCTAGTTAGAAAGATTTGCCATCCTGCATAGGTTTGAACTTTAAGATATGTTCTATGTGGGAAAAGCAAAAAAGAGAAAATTTCATATAGAAACTTAGTTGTGTCGCACGGATCTTAAAGCAATATTGAAGAGTTAGGATAGGAGGGCCTGGGTGCATATGCTCTAAAAATCCACGTCCCGCCGGCGCATCCTCGGATCCGTGTAAGCCAGTCGGGTTCCCGACGACGAACCGTGGGTACATCGTCCGAGGCTGGGCGCCGCAGGTGCTCATCCTGAACCACCCTGCCATCGGCGGGTTCGTTACACACTGCGGCTGGAACTCAACGCTGGAGGCCGTGAACGCGGGCGTGCCGATGCCCGATGGTGACGTGGCCGCAGTACGTCGACCAGTTCTACAACGAGAAGCTGGTCGTGGAGGTGCTCGGAGTGGGCGTGGGCGTCGGCGCCGAGGAGTACGCGCCAAGCGTGGAGACCCACCGGGTGATCGCCGGCGAGGCGATCGCGGAATCCATCCGGAAAGTGATGGGGGAGGAGGGCGACGGCGCCGCCATGCGGAAGAAGGCAAAGGAGCTCGGCGTGATGGCGAGGGGCGCGGTAGAGAAGGGCGGGTCGTCGTACGACGACGTCGGGCAGCTCATGGAGGAGTTGATCGCCCGTCAGTCAGTGGGATGGCGGATCAGACTGGACTAGACGGGGCGAACCGTTTTCTCACGGAAGCTGGTCCAAAGGAGCCGTTTTGCTCATTTATGGCAGCACCGGTGGTAGGTACCAATCTTCTCCAGCGCACCTACTCGCACTCATCCTTCTTCATATACAAGTCCACCCATTCCTCCCCCAGGCAGATCTTCTGAGCGAACTAATCCAGACTAGGGACACAAATCCTTCCGAAGAGCATGTCTGCATCGTCATCCTCAAGCGGCTTCGAGCAACTCCCGCCGCTAATCAGCTGCCCTTAGTGCGGCGGTAGGATCTTCACCTGGATTGCTCGGGCGTGGCAGAATGCAGGCATTCGGTTCTACAAGTGTGTCAACAAGGATGTGAGTACAATCCATTCTCCAGTCGTTCATCTAAGTATTCGTGTGCCATTCGGATCAGCTAGCACATCGAGTTTTAATGCCCGATTTGATTTGTTAGTTTTAATGCCCGATTTGATTTGTTCTTGCAGTCTGGAATCTGCAACTACATGAGGACCAAGGAGGAGTACATTGCAGAGTTAAGCTTTCATTTGGGGACGGCACAACAGACAGGATACGGCAGCAGCCAGGCCGGATCGGTTATGAACCGCAGAGTCCGTGTGGTCGAGCAGCAGCGCAGTGTTCCAGCCGTAGGCCAAGCCATCAGGGTTAATCAAGCAGGCTCTTCCGTCGCCGCGCTACGTGTTCTTGTGTTCTTGGGTGCTGCCATACTCTTTGTGGGTGTCCTTATTTTCTTGGCGTTGCTGAAAGTAGCGTCACTCCTTAGCAGGTAGACGGTGGTCTTGGTCTTGTTGCCAGACTAGAAATAATGATTAGGAAGTGTGAAGTGTGTCTTTTGTAACCCAGTCGTTGGTAATCGGAATCAGTTAGTGCGTCCTTTGTATTGCAGTGGTTGGTAATGAGAATCCGGAAGCGTGTACTTTGTATCCCAGTGGTTGGTAATGAGATTTGACTCTGGTTCTTCCCTAAGACCGTCGTTAAGATATGTGACATGCAATGAGCAATCAATTAATGTTCAGATATTTATTTTTGCCCCGACCAGCTTATCAATTGGGCAGCAGCACTAATGCATGATCTTTTTTCTATAGCTAATATATCATAATTATCTCTGTGGGAACAAGTTCGTTTACTATATAAATTGGAACTGACAGGCGCTGTCAGCGGCATGACCGCTGGGCGCAATAAATTATTGCACCTACCCCGCTGATCTAGATTTTTCCTGACCTTATCTCCACCCACCAGCCCGCACCCACCCAACAGCCCTCATACCAGCCCTGTGTCTCGGTTGCCCCCGTTTCAGCTACACTCTCAAGCCAAGTCGCCGGTGATTTGGCCCACGACGTAACCATTCCGGCGGGGGAGATCCACAGGTATTATTCAATCCCCTTCCTCCCCCCCTCGCCTCCCCTCATCGGCGCACGCCTATGACCCGAGAAATCTACACAGTAGGTATTCAAATTTGCGCTAGATCAGAAAAGATGGATCTGTCGCCCCAGTCGATCTGTAATTTCGTGGTGCCTCACAACTGTTTGTCTATTGTATCCTGATCCGCATGTAGTTATTCGAACCACCAGTCATAATTTGGGCTGTAATCACGCTCTTCACCGCATGAATTAATCAAGTTCAGTCACACTCCTGTTTATCCCAAAAGTATCTACATGCCTCACCTGGCAATCTGATTATCTAGTAATCATGCTCAGTCCAGCATAGTTCGTCAGCCATGAGGGGCCACACATGTACAGATGATTTCACTCCATGTTTTTTAGCACAAGCACTCCATCTATCATATTCTAGCCTACATTCGTTGAAGCTCACTCAAAATCAAAGTTTTCATATTGGTAGGAATCATGTCTGACGCCGGAAGTTGTGATGGGGCCGCAGCCTCTGGGGATGCAGTTGATGACAACATTCATGGACAGCCACAACAAGCTAATGAAGAACAGGCATCTCCTGCTCCAACTTCTCGAATTTCAGTCAGAAAGGCAGTAGAAGTAATCCAGACATTTGACGAATACAAGCGGTGGCTCATTACTGAAATTGGGTTTGGAGGAATGCTAAAGCTACCCTTGCTCCAGAAGCTTAATCTTAAGTTTAGCGCCTGGACTATGAGCAAGGTCTGCGTTGAGCCTCGAGCGATTGTTCTGTCAGAAACGAAGATACTAAAGTTTTTTGCGGAAGACATCCACAAGGTTTTTGGCATCCCGTGTGGACACTGGAGTGTTAAAGGGCGCGATGGTTTCATCAAGCCAGAAGCGGTAACATTCATAAAGAGGACGCTAGGGATGGACAGGACGGGAGTGCATAGCCTGCGTGCGGCCGAGGAATTCCTTCTCCGTGACATATCCGAGGCTTCCAGCAAGATGGAGAAGGATTGCTTTCAGATTGCATTTGTCATTTTTGTTATGGGCCATGTGCTGGTACCTAGAACAAAACATGATTATGGCACCATAGACTACTGGGGTGCGTTGGCAAATACGGAGAACATATCACAATTCAATTGGTGTGAGTTTGTACTTGAGTTCTTGCTTGAGGCAGTCCGGCGGCTTAAGAATGATATGATGGACAACAATATGAACACCAATCTGGTTGGTTGCCACTTGTTTTTCCAGGTTTGTCCTCTCATCGACATGGTTCCTCACATCATTTGTAATGATATATGTCATGCATTTTTCATTCACATCGATCCCATATTAACAACCTTTTCATGTAGATTTTCTTCCTTGACAATGTCGACCTTGGAATTTTCAACAAGAACCACAATGTTCTTCCTCGCATTAGTGACTTTGATCAGACCAACATCAAGAACATGATAACAATGGCGACTGACATTGGGAAGGGCCCTACGTCCTACTCGAAATGCATGGTAACCATGGCATCTTACTATGGTTTGGTGAACATTGTTTATTGATTTCGCCCTCATCATAATAAATGTGTTTCATATGTATCCATGGTAGATTCGTCAGGGTACTGATCTATGCTATGCTCGTTGCAACATTGCTGATTGCACTGAGAGAACTTCCAACCAGCCAGTTGAAGGCGGCAATATGGAGGAAGATGTTTGCAAGTTCACGAACGACAGGAATGATTCAGCTCATGTATCTTCTTCAGCAGCCGGCAACCTAATGGATGTACATACACCACTACCTATGCTTGGACCAATGGACTTTATAGAGCACATGTGGAGCCGATACCCCAGTCTGGTATGATTCGCTGCTACGGTTGATTCAATTTTTTCAGTATTTTCTGAGATTTTCCCATCATTTGTATCTGGTGGTAGTCATGGCATCTATACTGATTCTGCTGATGTCGTTTTCTTTCTGTGCTGCAAGTTAGGGATGAGTTGAGTTTTATACTAAAGGAGCAGAATGCCAAATGCCAGCGTGAAATCAACACCGCCCGCGCAAATATGCAGGCAGACATGATCAAATTCGTGGACAAACTAATGGCATCAATCAGCAAGAGGTGCATCTGCTATACCGCTAGAGGGTTTACTGACTGTCCGGCAAGAGCAGTAGATACATTTCCAGTTGATACACTAAGGACTGCGATTGGACAGAAAATACCAGGAGTCAGGCTCGATATGTCTGCATGCAAAGGTCTCGATCGTTGTTCATTGCAATCCCCTGTTTTTGTTTCTTTGCATTTTTGCAACGACTTCCTCCCGTGCCAATAGTTCATTTCATATGATAACTTTCACTCTATTTTCAGATGGCAACTTTGGACCGAGTATCCATGGCGATGACCAGTCAGGCCGGCTCCAGAACAAGAGGTCACGACATGATGAAGGAGCAGTCGCAACAATGACATCTCAGATACTTCAGTTTGCAAGGCATACACTGCAGGCTATCAGCAAAATGTTTATTGACTTGCCGGATGACGGCAGCACCACTGCATTTGGACAGAAGGCAGAGGGACTTCCTAGAAGAAAATATGTATTCAGATCTGGATTCCAGACAGACCCATGGGTCAGGGGTCTGTCCCGCTACCACCGCAAACGTATGTTTGCCAACAATTAGAAGGGTTCTTTGCTACGTCACCGCCAGAAGAACTATGCAGGCGATTATGTCAAACCAGACTATTATGGTGCATATTCATTATCTGTATTCACACTTTAACCATTATGCTGACACTCCTTTTTCCATATACTCAGGAATTTTCTTGTGCATGAGAACCCGAGGTTCTTACGAATAACGGGTTCAGCGTTGAAAAGCCAGGTTGTTGAAGATGAGCTAATCGACCATGAGGTGATGTCAGTCATTATCAGAAGGTATTGCCAGTCTGATCAGGAAGCAGACAAACACTCCCCATACTTAACATGGAGACACCCAACTGAACCGGAATTTTCGGTCAGTCGTAAATAGCTATCCACATCTTCGGCAACTTGTTTTTCAATATACATTTATTTTATCCATGCACAGACGATTGGATTTGACTGAATGCAGACAATGGTACTATCGGATTATGATTACCTACATTGGTGTCAATCCAGAAAGCATTGTGTGCCGACGCACTCAAATATGACATCACATCAGCTCAGTTGGTATGAGAGTAAACTAGCACCGACCCTTTGATTTTTGTATTATCCTGTGGCAACTAATTGGTCCCCTAACACTTCAATTCTTCTTTGCAGTTCTTCACGCCGGTCCCACGGCCCGAAGGATGGATTGTAGTTTTCTGGGACATGGTAACCCGCCTCATGTTTGTTATTGATCCAATGTACAGCAAGAGAAGCCAACCACTGACCACTCAGCAGAGAGACGAGATTATAGCTTGGAAGTTACATGATGCCTTGCTCATTTGCTTAAATGAGTATTATGCTGGCTGGCCCGTGAGGAAAGATGGTTGGAAAGTCACCTTCCCCGCACTTGCTGATAGCATTTTCTCTCGGTATTGTGTTCCCCAACCCCCTTTCTGTTACCTCATTACGTGTAATGTCATTAGTGGGTTCTTATGAAAATCTGTTTGCTCTGAGCAGTAATGAAACTGGAGCTTGTGTCATCCATATTGCCCTCCATTTCGATGGGAAAAAGCTGAAGATGCCCCTCACCAAGGTTTGTTATCGATGTCACCGAGCCTAATTACATTCCTCTCTACGGTTTCCATGGAATCCTTTTGAATTTTTTTGCCCTAACCAAATCCCCTCCCGGTGGCATTACACAGCACACAATATCGAAGGTGAAGTGGGAAACGCTGTACGAGTGCATGAAGTTGCAGGGAAATTTCTCACCCCATGCACGTGATGCTCTGTGGCGCCTTCTTGCACCATCGGACAATATATCTGAGGAAGATTGACTCAGCAAACTCTACCGGTTGGCATGGAGCTATCCTTATGTTCTTTTTTCACTTTACACCCTAGATATATGTCTACTTATTTCATCGTAGCAAATGTATGCGCCAAGGTCATGTTTACTATCAGTCATTTCAGTTTTATCGTTATGCACCAAGCATTAGTTGGTACTAAACTTCTTATGATGTGTCTGAACAAATCTACAAATACTTTTATTTTTGCATATCCACATCATGTCCCCCCCATCCTCCCCGGTTCTGATATGTGCAATGGGAGGAGGAGCACATGCCACGCCCATCTTCTCACATACATGGACGCGTGTGCCATTTTTCATCTTATTACCAACTCAAAACAGCTAGCTCGTTCAATCAAAACTTCGCGGTATAGAAGGACCCATCGGCCATGTAGACACATTGTATGTATGCATTGAGCACCGGGCGACAATTCAAGTCACATATCTCAGCACATGCCTTGTTCGATATATTTAAATTTATAGTTATCCCGGGTTGCTACTAATATGCCGAGATAAATAACCATGCAACATGCGATAGGAACACTTGACTGTGCTAACATTATCATCCCACATTTTCCAGTCTCCATCTAATCAACAACCTTAAAGCTTCGCCCACCCTCTGCCCCGCCATGTTTCGCCATGATGTAGACACACTATGTCAGAGGCATACCCATATTGCATTATGCCATAGTAATGCAAAATCATAATTCATCAATTGCATATTGTACTACATAATTAGTTTACGCACAAGCCAAACATCACAGAACTGCTAGCACACAACAGTAAGGTTCAAACTTAATTGTCGGAGTCCACACTTACGTCTTACACAATGAACAGCCTAAACATGACTGTCTTCTTACATAAATGTCACAAATAGGTTTGTCTTGAACTAGTACATGGCATACATGCAGTGAACACAATCACTTACACGCCACTTTAGTTGGGGCGCAAGCTCAATTGTGCCAATTCTCGATGCCGTGATGTCTTCAGTCTTCTAGTGCCGGGTAGTACACAAATGGCAATCCTACATACGTGATACATCTGGTAATAACTTATTCATTGAAGCCAACAAGTGGTCACAATCACACATGCACATATCAGGAGGTGGGTGCAAGCTAAATTGCAACCTTTATCGGCGCCAACATGTCTTCAGTTTTCATCGGCCGGTCAACCGTTTGAACCATTATCACACCACATACATGTGGGGAGGCAACTAACATTCGCGGTTGTCGTCATATTCAAACAAGATTCTCACCCGTCGCACAAATACTGTTTCAAAATGCTTCCTCTCATCTTGTAGCTGCCTAGAATGGCAGGACTTCCTCAAGCATGAAATCTGGGAGATCTCCCATGTTCCCCCTCATGGAGATAACTTCATATGCAATTGACTGCCGCAGGTAGTTAAGGCGCGCCTGCACATAATGAACATGACAATTAGGGAGGTTCGACTAGCTGTTTACAGAGTTGAACCAAGGCTTCAATATATTCGTGTGGTATAATTCTCATCGGTGTTAGCACATTCTGAAGATATAGGCCAGTGTCATTCCTGCTGTAGTTTACAATGTGCAACCAGCTGTCCTCTCTGCATTCTCCATCATCACATCAAATCAATCAGACTGTTAAATGTGGATAGTAAATAAATATCGACATTTAGAGTGATTGCATTTTGACCATACATCTCGCAGCTTTCATGCATGTTCACATTGTAGTTGATTGTCCACCCCTGAGCAGGGATGTACCAACCAGGGATATTCTCATGTATGCAGCGCCGAAGTCTTGCTAGAATGAAGTTTGCATTGTCTTCATGCTTGTACTGCACCTCTGACATTGGCTCTGAAGTCTCACAGGGGTCCATGACCAACAATGTCCTCTCCTCGACATCCACGACATATAGTGAGTAGCTATCCATCATTGGAACTGGTAGCATGAGCTGCATATCCGAAGTAATAGGTGAGTCTTTTTAATACATACCAAATGCTAATTATGATGTACGAACATATGCGGAATACAAAACATCATATATATATATATATGTATGCATTGCGAGTTGATACCTTCTTTGTCCACTGCAGGCAATAGCCGAGCGCCTCATAACTCATCCTTGTATTCATGAATTCGAAGTCCAAATCGTATGACCTATACATGAGAGCAAGCTGCCCGAAGACGCAACAAATTATTGCAAGCACCGCAATTTATCATTTAAAGGAGCTTCGATGATGTCATGTAAGTAATCACTCACCACAAATCGCAAGTCAAAGATGTGTCGCCACCTGATCTCCCAATCACCGTACATCATATCATCCTTGTACACAAGCATTCTTGACACAGCCGTTCAACCGATTGTTGTTACATGACCACCAGGACCAAATTCGTTAACAAAGTCCTCACCTGACATCACTATCAGGTACGGCTCGCGGTGTTTGTACCATTTCCTGCAAATAAGAAAGGACAAGGCCGCAATACATGTCAGCCCATAAACCAATGTTGTCTACTTCCACTGTATTCTAATTCAACTTTCACTCTACCTGCTGCGATTCCTGGAGCTTCTCGTGCACATTTTGTCCCAGAATTCTACAACATTCTTTGCAAGGGGCTCTTCATGCTTCAGACCAGCTTTTCTGGGGAATATGTCTCCCTTATCAGTCATTTCCATCTTCACTATGATTCTCACCATGCCAACACGCAGCCTCAGGTTTCTATTCATTCGGCCTGAAACCACTCCTACACCCCTCTGTAGAACAACATCATCTGCACCACCCATCTGAGACTAACACATGTATGTATGTATTCTAACCAACTGTGAACTAACTTGGATTGATTGCTGGCTCTAAGTCTGTACCATGTGGATCAGTTCCAGTAGTATTCACTGCTGCCGAGTTTTCTCCTACAGCCCTGACTGCATGTGCAAATTCAACAAATGATGGAGACATGTAATGTCATCGATGACCCATTTTTTACTCATCCTTAGGAGTTTGCATCGTCTCACCAGTAATCCTTGGGAATGCATATCCCGTGCTTCTACGAAGAACACCTATGCCTACGGGCACTTGCTCTAGTCCTGGGAAATCATGTACTACAAATTGT